CAGCTGTGAAGGAAGAACTAGCTGCAAGAGATAACACCATAGTAGTAACCCCAATTCATTAACTTCCTCTCATTTTCAATATAAGTGGCTAAGTAAACCCTAATTACGAAAAACAGCAGTTAAATTTAATTCTCTTGATATGTAATAATAATATAAGTAGTTAAGACAAGAATTTATTACACCTAACTTTACTTATTTTTTAATCGATCATTAAGATAACAACAAGAGATTAAAAATATTGACGTGGGAATTTTGGAGTCGATTTCTAAAATCCACTCAAGTCGAATTCTCTTCCAAGCTACAAATACGACGACGAACGCGTCTAACTCACTCACGCAGTGTAAGATACCACAAGACAAATGGCTAAGATAGTGCGCTGAGGCTCTACTGTTATTCGATTTTTTATCCCGTATCAAGGAGGGAAAAAATAACGTATGGAATATTTACTCGTATGTTTCTGTATTTTGAGTCTTAGAGATTCTCATCTTAAGGGTTTGTTTACATGATCGATGACAAATGTTTTTTCACTTGTTTTAATTGTACTACAGAAAACATAGACGATATATATATATATATATATATATATATATATATATATATATATATATATATATATATATATATATATATATATATATATATATATATATATATATATATATATATATATATATGAGACAGGCGGGGTCTTTGTTTACCGATTCGACTAAGTGTCCGGGAAACAAACGCCAGGGTTAATCAAAGCATCTGTAAATTTATGTTACGTCTATAATAGCGATGTTCTTTTTTGTGAAATGAAATCATTTGGTTTTCTCCATAAATTCATGTTAACTACTGTATAGTACGATGGTCATTTGTTCTGTATGGAAAAATATATTGCTACTATATAGATTTATTCTGATGATTCCGCGATGTTCACTTGGTCTATGAGGTAAAGTCATTTGTATAACCTATAAATTGTCTTTTTGTGCATTCCGCGATGTATGGTTTTGTCAGACGAAGTTATTTGTATGTATTTGTTTCCTTTTTGTGTTGTTGATATTGTTTGTTTTTATTTTCCGATATTCAACTCTTACCTGACATAAATAACTGCTTATATTTCCTTTTACACATCCCTTCTTAATATAATGCACAGTATCTGGATACGCTCATCTGTTTTGTAAAATAAAAATGAAACACGTTTATATTTCCTCCCCGTCACATTCAGACACGCCTCACGTAGCACCGGGAATTTCCTCTGTGTGTTGACGTAGATTCTCTGTCCTGCGATGCTCTTTTGTTTCGAGGGACTTACAGTATACCAAGCGCAAAAGGGAGGAAATGCCACTCTCAACCGGGGGCGATTACGACACCTCCCACACCTCTTAAATGTCAACAAGCAGAAAAAAGAGCACGTTCTACCCGGGTAAAATATAACAGTGCTAACATATGTACAGTTCCCTTCACTGTACAGTGCTAGTAAACAGGCTCGTTAGGTTTTGTGTTGTGTGGCAGGGCTGTTTGTTTACATTCGACAGAAGGAAACTCGCAATAGTAAACATACTATGGAATCAAAGTAAAACAATATTAAAACAAATATCTCAAACAATGATTTGTGGAATGTTAATATGACGAGCCCCTGTAAACGCACTTGTGGAGGCGACTGTACGAGTACTGTATACATGAATACGAGCAGAGAAACAGGCTTACCGACAACTGCAAACCAACAATAACTATAACAACTGTAACACAAATGAAAAGCCAGATAGATTGTTTATTGACTACAGATAAAAAATAAACAAGTAATGTACTACAGACAATCAATAACACAGTCTTCTTTCTACACGTGTAAACAATAGAATGGCTGACAATCGCAATCGTTCAACGTTAATTCGTGTATAATCGTCACAACATTATTTTCACATATACTATTAATGTGTGTTGGCTATATGATGATTATTTTGTTAGTATAAAGTAGATGTTGATGCTGTTTGAGAAAGCATCCATCCATCCGCTTTTAGAGCGACCCTTTATAGACGGTATAATTAAATACAGTGGGAAACGGAAAGAGTGGAGGAGACTGGCGGAAGGAAGTAAGGAATAAGAAAAAAACCGGACACGAGCGGAGAAGACAAATAAACCCGACTAACGAAAGAAATAATAGAGGGGGAAAGAACACTAACGAACAGAAAGAGGGAAAGGAAAACAACAAACTAAAAAACAGAACGAAAAAAAAAATTCTGACGTCCGGAAGTAAGGAAGGAAGGGGAGGGGGAAGAATGGACTGTCAACACTCATAGACGTAGAAATATATCACAGAGGACAGAGTGAACCACCGTGAATGTCATACATTTAACTAATATCTGACGAGACAAGAACAAAACACTTACGATGCTACCAAGAAAAAATCACCAGCGCAGACGAAAAGAGGTGAAGCGAACGTTCGTCTGGCGTACGTTTTATAAGCATGGAAGTATCACTCGTATAGAAAAACAGCGAACGCCTCTACTGGCAACTGATTGGGCGAACGTTCGTCTGACGTAGCTTACATAACTGTGTGATAGCCTGACAGTGGTTAACGCCAGGTGCTGCTGATCGCTCGTGCTGGCAGAGCTTTCCAGTGACGTTCCTATGATTCATGTCCAGAAAATGACTTTTTTTTTGTGCCTGCTGACGAGGAGTCACCCAGCGAGAATTCCCTCCTCCTCCTCTTCCAATGCTTCCTCCTCCCTTCCTCCTCCTCCTCCTCCTCCTCCTCTTTCTTCTCCTCCACTTCCTTCTCCTCTCCTTTCTCTCCCTCTCCTTTCTCTCCCTCCACTTCCTCCTCCTCTACTTCCTCTTCCTCCGCTTCCTCCTCCAACCCTTTCTCCTCCTCCGCCTCCCCTTCCCCTCACCTTCTTCCTCCTCCTCTTCCTTCTCACCTCGCCTCTTCGTCACCAAGAGGTTAAGATACCGTTCTTGCATTATAAAACACTATACTATGATCCTCAAAGATTCGAATATCAATATTTTCCCCTAAATTGGCTGGGGGGAAGATACCATATCTTATTACGGTAAACAATTAATCTAAAATCTTGACAACATATTTTAATTACCATCTTTGAGTCGTGGCTTAAATGAGTCCGGTAAGTGTGTGTTCTGACACTCACCTTAAGGGAAATCTTATTAATAAACTCTTAGTTCATCCTGGGGACGTATTCTCAAACATTTGTAGGGTAATATTGTTCATTAAGTAGTGAATATAATATAGAATTTTGAATGAGTTTTAGTGTAATGTTGACGGCTTTTTACTTATTATCTGTAAACAAGATAAATGCGTTTGTTTACGTTGATTGGCATCACCTGTAGATTAGCCCCACCAAGCTTATATCACCTAAGATTAACCACTCTATCGTTTACCTAACCTAGCATAAAATAACTTAGCATAGCATAGCCTAACCTAACCTAATCTAACCCCACCCAGATGGAGTTAGGGTGTTTAATAATTAGGTTCAATAAGCTGGGTGGGCTAATCTTGAGGTGATCCGTCTATATTGCAGGGAGAGCTAGGTGGTGGTGGTGGTGGTAGTGGTGGTGGTGATGAGTGGGGGAGGGGCTAATCTTCACGTGTTCAGGAAATTAAATGCAGGAAATGTTGTGACTGTGGATGTTGGGTGACAGGATCTCACCAACACACGTCCTTCATTGGTGAGTTATTATCGCCTATGGACGCCGTATGTAGAGTTAATTAACCCCCATGCCGCCACAATTAAGGGAGGGGGCGGGGATGATGGCAGTTCACCCACACCACGTTTTACGCCAACCGGGCTAAAAATACCGCCAGTGACACAGCGCCTGGCGAGAGCACTGCCTGCCTGAGCTACACCACCACCATCCGGGTTCTCCTAGGTGAGTGAAGTTCAATGTTGTAATCTAAATGGATGAATAAGAACTTAGAACTGACTTATCTCCCGACAATAAACTAAGATATTATAACTATATGTATACACAGCAAGCGACTCCACCATCTGGGTCCTTAAACACTCTTCGGGGTTCACTTTTCACCTGTATCTAGGAGAGTAAGTCTACCTGGCTCACTTATGTTCCAACACTAACCTGAGAGTGTCGTAACTACATGCATCATCTGTCCTGTACGTACGAGGATATTACGAGGTTGAATTAATAACGACTTCATATGCTAACCTTCTCTCCTGCCTGATGCTGAGTAACGTATCTAAGTAGAGTCTCGTGGTAATTTTAGATTTGTTATGAACGTTATTTTTTTGCGATTTAGTTTCAGTTACCTAGTTAAGTGTGTTTTTACCTCACCAGTTTTTATGTTAATTTGTAGTAACTGAAGGTATGACTTTACACCACCCTGCCTCACATGCAGAGTAGGTCCAACATGGAGTCGATTTGACACCGAGACTCTACTCGATGCGGCCACTTGGGGTTAAGGGGTGAAGTTTAAAGTAGAAAGACTATGGGTTGGGGATCATTAACCAGTCTAAATCCAGTTTACAGAAGGTCCGAGTCTTTGGTAGATTTTGATTTCGCTCCTGATATGCAAATTTCGAAAATGGGGGAGCGGAACCATACAGGGTTATATCACCTTTTGTCACAGTAATTTAGCTTTTCTGGCACCTGAAACACAAGTGAATCACCTCGATAACGAAATATCATTACGATGTATTTACGTAGAAGAATATAACAGCAACAGTGGTTAAAAAGATGATATCAACCGATGTGACGAATATCAGACAACTGGCAACCTCTTCCGGGCGCTTCCCCTTTTCGCATACCACGCCAGTGTTATCAACACCCTGGTGCCGCCATAACTCTCTTGGCTCGACATGATATTGCAATAAAATTTCACTGAAGAGAATATTGTATAAAATATTATAACATAGACATTAAGGGTGAATTTGGTGTGTTTTTGAAGGGTAATTCTTTAGGAATGTAGATGAGAGGTGCAGCCACGGCGGCGGCAATAGTGCAACTGGGGCCCGGCGTTGAGCGTGAAGAGGTGAGGAACAGTCAGTCTCCCCTCGGCCTTCCTTGTTGCAGTACGGATCCTCTCTGCCCCCGCCTGCCGACTGGTACCGCGCCTTTAGTGCTCCACCCACCCACGCCCGCCCGCACACGCCCACACCCTAACTGAGAAAAGTACAGGGGCGTGGATTTGTTCAGGGAGACGTGATGCTCCGTCATAAAGCATTTCTCTCTACCTTACACGTGCCGGCACCGAAACCGTGTGGAAAATTAAATGAGGAATTTTGAAATGGAAAACACTCACAAAAAAGAAAAAAAGATAAAGACTGAAGATATACAGGAATTCTGATACGAAACTATAATAAAAAATGTATATATTGTACTGTATAAAATAAGCCTTAAAATAATGTTCTATCCGGGTACTAACACTGTATATCAAATACCAGTAACTAAGAGACAATAGGAAAATATGAACAAAATAAGGAGAACATAGAGGAAAGTCTCCATCAATAAGTGGTTGAGGTATTCGGCTGCGGACCTACCAAGACTGGAACTGACATTTAAAGGTGGCACCCGTCTTCCTCCTCCCCCTGGCACCGTGCTGGGGAGGGTCATAGTGCCACATACATAACACCGTGTGGTTAAGGTCACAGTTCTTAGGTTACTGTGGTTATAGGGTCATAGGGTCACTATGCCGTCATCATAAGTCATAGTGCCTGGGTCATGATGCCGAGAGACTAGGTCAGAGTGCTTAAATCACAGTGCTGAGTGCCTAAGTCATAGTATCTTGGTCATAGTGCCTAGATTACGGTACTAAAGTCAAACTGCCAAAACTATATTGCCTATGTCTTAGTATCTAGATCGTAATCCCGGATCAGAGTGCCATGATTATAGTGCCTTGGGGGATGACACTACCGTAGGTCAAGGTGCACAGTGTACATAGTGTATTACAGCTCATGGTCTCCCTACAGGGCCAATTGCGTGAGGGTATTATTATAAAGATCACTAACATTATGCAGTGTCTATTGTGTAAACTTACAATATAGGCTATTGTCTCTAATACAATATTATATTATAGGTTAAATATATATGCGATTATAGTGACCCTAGTATAATATAGGTGGAACCCTCATACAGTGCCTATGGTGTTTATACGTTATAAGTGGCGCAGAATACGTAAAGTTTATGGTAAAATGCTATTATAATATCAAGTATTGTTCTAATATAGTGGATATGGTGCAAATCCTCTAAATTATATTTCACCATCTCGACGCAGTGTCAACGGTGAGATACACGGTGTTATAATCCACGATATGTTAGTTAATAGTGATATACTCTATGGTGTCAGGGACATATCTTCAGTACAGTGACATGAAGACACTATAATTTTGATTATATATAGTAAACATGATAACTGACACCACGTTATAGTGACGAGTCTGACGACCTAATCCCTTATGGTGAACTTGGATTCAGAGGAAGTCGAGTCGAATCCTTTTAAAAGTGAATCAGTTTACCAATAAGCATCTTGTTAATGAATGCAAAGGTCGTCTTCCAAGTGAGTCTGTAAAGGTACTGTGATATTGTGTGTGAATATACTGTATGTCCGGTACCTTTTTGGTAGTTTACAGTAGCCTATTTTTGGTACCTTTCTTAGTATTATACAATATATATGTTTGGTAGCTAAGGTAGGGTATAACAGTATTGCATATATTGTATGTTAATTAATTGACTGTACGTTATTAATTTAGGAGCAACACAGCAGGTATAGATAGATAGGAATAACTCTGTATGCACACAGGCACAGGTAGAGTTGCTTCAAAGAGTTTCTTTACCCCCTGTGGGAACGTCTGTGTCCATGTGGTAGGGTCGCAGTAATAAACTTTTGAATGACTGTTTGGTAGTCTTGTAACGATGGACCTGATTGGTGGACAAGTTCACGTGCTAGACGTTAGGAGACTGGGGAGGGGGGGGGGGAATCCCTGCCCTAGAAGTAATATGAACACTTTACACTCGCTCTCCGTCATCCGGCTACTGAAGTAATCTGGAAGCTTCTGTGCCTTTGTGAGATGTAGTTACTTATAAACACTTCCCAAGCCACCTTTCCTCTTAATGCATTGAAGAAGAATCTCAATTAAAAAAACTACAGTATACACAAACATTTAATTATCCAAGCAAGGTTATACACAGTAAATATGGAAATTTAAGACATGAAAATATAAGGAGGACCAGTGTAGAAGAGTTATTTGTATGCGAGAGTGAAGGAATGAATGGACACCGAAGTCTCATTAACAATGTTATTACTCATGACTTTCATCGTCAATATAGTATATTATTAACACCACTCAATTAAAAAAGATCATGACTGGTGTGTGAGCGACGTTTGGCTGTGATCACTTCTTCACCAAATATGGTATGATGACACTTGTGTTGTCACAGAGCAGTGGCTTGTGTTGAGTTGTTACCACTAAGTTAAGTTTGCCGGAGGTCAAAGTTAATGCTTGTCATAATTATCGTTTACTAGACTAAAAATTCAGTTTAGATCAAAATGTGTTTTGACCTTGGACCACCACTTTACCCGGCCTTGTTGACTAACTACCAAGTAAGTTTTGGTTTTTATCTCATATTTTGTACAATATTCCAACCTGGATCATGTCCAGTGACAATTGATTCAGATATTTAAGTTTGTTCGTGTTATCTATTAGTGTATAGTGACCTGCGTTTAGAATGTTTGTGTATGGTGACTTATGGTATAGTGTTCAACATTCATCTCTGTACAAATTAACATCTGACGTGTCCATACATCATTCTTATTTAACTGCATTATTTCTACTCTTTGAGGCGATATTCCAGTTTTTTTTCCTCTTGCAGCGATATTTCAGTCTGATTTCCACTTGTAGCGATAATTCAGTTTTATTTCCTCTTGTAGCAATAATTCAGCCTTATTTCTACTCTAAATGTCAACGTATTTCCATCTTAGTGATAAATATATTTCACATTCTACTCAATACGGATAATTGCGTCTATAGTAGCGATAAATCACTTTTATTTCTCGTCCTTATCTCAACAGGGAGGAAACAGAGGTCGGTGTAGTGCGAGGGTGAACAACCACGCATCATGAAAAACAACGTAGCAACTTCACGTGTTATAAGAAGTGCAAATACCCCGTACACGTAATTTAAGAGACGAAAAGACGCAACTACTCGTGAGTTAAGAGGTAAAAGCTCAAATACACGTGATTTAAGAGACGAAAAGACGCAACTACTTGTGATTTACGGGGTAAAAGCTCAAATATACGTGATTTAAGAGACAAAATGACGCAAATAGAGTTATTACAGAGATATAATGCGTATTACTTACTTATCAAAACGCCAGTTTAAACTGGGTAGAATCTGTTTCCAGCACTAAAGTCTATCAATACAAAAAAGTCGGTTTTAAAAGTTCTATGAAACAACAGGATTTGGCCAACGCAAAATCATCAACGTTATCATTATTCTACGATCTCATCTAAAGAAAATGGATTATCATAAAGAACCAAAAAACCGAGAAAAAAATCTGAGATTGGAATTTTACAGGGATTAAGCAGGGAAATAATCTTAAGAACTCAGTGAATCTACAATTTAGTTCACCGGAGAAAAACAAATTGATCTTTAAACGTGGGGGTAAAATAGGGTGTAGAAAAAGGAGAAAAAATCCCTGGAAATATTATAAATATCTTTTATTCCCCTGCGAGAAGCCCGTGACGTGAAGGGAGAAACGTGGGACGTGAGGGGAAAATTAGAAATATTTTTCCTTATTGGAGGCAAAAGAATAGTGGGACTTATTTTGAGGGAAAAATCCCTGCACTGGCGGGTAAAATTGTTTCCTGATAGTGAGAGAGCTTTTGACTTCCAGGGAGAAAACCCTCGACGTAAGATTGGAAAAATTATTTAATATTAGGGAAAAACGACTATTTCTAGGGGATAAATGATGTTTAAAATATGAAATAATATAATAAAGCGAAGAAAAGGAGATAAATGGGGAAAGGTGATTGAAGGAAAGGGGAAAAATATGAAAAAACAAAATTATATGAAGAAGAAAATTCATATTAAAAACATTATATACGATAGAGATATATTGAAAAACTCCTGTAGTAAATACTATAAGAAAAAAATATATAAAGAAAATCGCTATATAGAAAAAATCGCCACAAAAAGATAAAAATCGTTATACGGAAAGAATAATAATAAAAAAATAAAATAACGAAGAAAACTAACATAAATCAACGAGGAAAACAAGAATATAGGAAAAATAATCACCTATTTGAAAAAAAAATAAAATTAAAGAACTAGACGGTAGGAAAATGTCAGATAACGAAGGAAAATGAGAAACAACAAAGGATTGAAAGAAAATATCCGAGAATAAATAGGAAAACACGATCATACGATAGGAAAATAAAAGGGTTCCCTATTTCTTATATTATTGCCTTTTTTCTCACTTTGTTATTAATTGCTCTTTTCCTATTAATTATGATTATATTTTCGCTGTTTATCTCTTAATTATTTTACCACATTATTCTGCTTCTTCCCTATATATTCCTGTCTACTTCTCCCTTTCATTATAAATTTTCCCTATTCATCATTTATCCTCTCTCTGTTATTTAAATTATTCTATTCTCCCTATTCTCTTTACATTCCCTTCTATCTTATTGACTATTATTTATTTCCTATTACCTATTCACTTTCTACTCTCACTGTTTACAATAACCTATTACATTATTTCCCTATCGTCTACCTATTCTTATTATCATCTTCTTCCCTATTTATTACCCCGATGCCCATTTAACTATTATTCATTCCTTATTTACACTCTTCTACTCTTCTCATTTACCACAACCTATTTCCCAAATTTGACCACCTATTATGTCTAAATTTCTACAGTACGCGCGAACTCCTTCCCTTCTGGATTCTTTCTGGGTCGTTCATAGGATCACCTTAGCTCAGAAGATGAGGTAATTCTTAAAGATGTAGGTCGGTATGGGTGGGTGGGTGGGTGGGTGGATGGGTGGGTGGGACTGAGTGAGTCATGTGTGTATGTGTGTGTGTGCGTGGGTGTGTGGGTGTGTGAG